CATCCCTGCTGCCTGGCGAAAGGTAAATGTCACAGCCATCACCAGAAGAGGTAAGCGTGAGGAAGTGCAGGACCACCAACCCCACGCTAGTCTCCAGGGAAGTGATGGTGCTGGTTCTCATGGAAGGTGTTTCAAGGGCCTAAGGACCTAGCCAGAATGGACTGGTCAGGAGCAAATCACACCTGACATACCTGATCGACCTCTCTGAATAGATTACTGTCCTTGAGTGTGAGAGCTGAATAGATGTTGTCTACCTTGACTTTAGCAAGGCTTTCAACATGGTCTCTCATAGTTGCCTGGTCATCAGCTTGAGGAAAAAATGGACTGGATGGATAGACTGTAGGGTGGAGGGAAGTTTGGCAGGAATTGGGTGGTTCATGCTGTGTGCCATTTTGCATCTGCCTCTGCTGGGGCCAGTACTGTTTAACTTCACCAGCAACATGGCTGATGGAATGGAGCGCACTCTCGTGCCAAACTGAGGTGCAACCGATCTGCTGGAGGGCACAGCTGCTCTTCTGGTAGGGCTTCACAGTTGGAGGAACAACCTGGAAAGGTAATGAAGACCAACAAAAGTAAAAGTGAACTCCTGGCACTGGGCTGGGATAAGCAGCCTGCTGGAGTAACGGGCTGGGGTGTGACTCGCTGCAGGCACCTCTGCCGAAAAAAAGGCCCTGGGTGCTGTTTTACAAGAAGCTGAATGGGGTCAGCAATGCACCCTGGCAGCAAAGGTGGCCGACCGCCTCCAGGGCTGTCCTGGCCTGGGTGCAGCCAGCAGGTCCAGGGAAGGGGTCCCTCCCCTCCACTTGGTTCTTAAGGGTCTCTCTGAGGGGCCTGTGCCCAGCTGTGGGCCCCAGGACTGACCAAGAGGAGGGAGACCAGGAATGGCCAGCAAGGTGGTCATGTCACAGGAGGAGACACTGAGGAGCTGGGTTTCTTCAGCCTGGAGAAGAGATGGCTGAGAGGGTCTCGGTGAAGGCTTTGCTACCTGAGGGAAGCTGGATGGATGGCAGAGCCAGGTGCTTTTCAGAGTTGCTGAGCAACAGGACAAGAGCAATGGCCATAAGTTCCATGAGGGGAAAGTTCTCATCTTGAAGTTCAACAAGGCCAAGTGCAAGGTCCTGCACGTGAGTCGGGGCAATCCCGTGCACAAGTACAGGCTGGGCAGAGAATGGGTTAAGAGCAGCCCTGAGGAAAAGGACTTGGGAGTGCTGGTGGATGAGAAGCTCAACATGAGCCGGCAATGTGTGCTGGCAGCCCAGAAAGCCAACCGTATCCTGGGCTGTATCAAAAGAAGTGTGGCCAGCAGGTCGAGGGAAGTGATTCTGTCCCTCTACTCAGCTCTTGTGAGACCCCACATGGAATACTGTGTTCAGCTCTGGAGTCCCCAACATAAGAAGGACATGGAGCTACTGGAGCGAGTCCAGAGGAGGGCCACAAATATGATTGGAGGGCTGGAGCACCTCTGCTATGAAGACAGGCTGAGAGAGTTGGGGCTGTTCAGCCTGGAGAAGAGAAGGCTCCGGGGTGATCTTATAGCAGCTTTCCAGTACCTAAAGGGGGCCTACAGGAAAGCTGGAGAGAGACTTTTTACAGGGGTGTGTAGTGATAGGACAAGGGGCAATGGATTCAAACTCTAAGAGGGGAGATTTCAATTAGATATAAGGAAGAAATTTTTTACATTGAGGGTGGTGAGGCAGTGGAACAGGTTGCCCAGAGAAGTTGTGGATGCCCCATCCCTGGAAGTGTTCAAGGCCAGGTTGGATGAGGCTTTGGGCAACCTGGTGTAGTGGAGGATTTCTCTGCCCATGGCAGGGGGGTTGGAACTAGATGATCTTTACAGTCCCTTCCAACCCTAACCGTTCTATGATTCATTCATTCTATGATTCTATGAAATGCTGACCAGAGACAAGGAAAAAAATCTTCCCTGTGCAGGTGGTCCGACACTGGAAGAGGTTGTCCAGGGCAGTGGTGCATCCTCCCTCCGTGGGGGTATTCAAGCCTTGGCTGGACAAAGCCATGAGCAACCTGGTGTAGAGCAGTAGTTAGCCCTGCTTTGAGGAGGCAGATGGACGAGATGGTTTTCTCAGGTCCCTTCCAACCTGAATTACACTGTGTGATTTCATAATCTAGTAGCAAAGCATAATTCAAAATGATTGGAATATTGAATTTCATTTGTAGATCTGCACAGATACTCAGGGAGATGTTGAGACTTAGGTTCTGTGAATGTGAAGCTGAAATTATTATTGCTCTTGCAGCTCAGTTTATTAATGTTTCTGAGGTGTTTGGAGACTTTGTGTGAAAGATATGTCAAGAACATGCACTGAAGTAGAGTATTTAGTGGCCCATTGCAAATGGGTCTTCTGAAACTGAGAAAAAAAAAAATCACTGAGAAACACAGCAGCACTGAGTCTGTCCTTTAATCATTACTCTTAAAACAAGTAATACTGATGAATTTGACCATTTATTGTCATGTTTTATATCAGTAAAAACACTACTTATGCATATTCTTGAAACTGCTGCCAAAATGTTGGGTTTTGGGAAAATCAGGACCTGGTTGAAGGTTCATAGTGCCTTGGGCCAAACTTACCTATCCACAGAAGGCCTTTACTTGCATCATGTCCAAGCAGCGAGTTTGAACCACATCTTAACAAGTCTGTTTTAACAAGATGCTATGTGGTTTGTATTAGGATTAAGTTAGATTTGGAGAGATCAAGAATCTGGAATGTTGGCAGCTCCGTTTGCTTATTTAGAGGGAAATGAGGAAGATGAGCCTCTAAAGCTGACAACATTTGCAAAACTGCATCTGTTTGCAGCATCTGCTTTTGAGGCAGCAGTTGTAAATTAAAAATCTTTCTTTTTAATACAATATTTTTTCTCAAAGAAAAATTGAAAGATTTTCTCCCCTGCACCCTTTCCCACAACTACATTTTGTAATGGCTCACAGAGAGCACCAGAAGAGGGGAGCCCATACCCAAAGCTGCATACCATTTTAGTGTCTGCATTTCTTACCTTCAAGAGCTACAATACTGA